AAAGATAGTTTTGCTGAATACAGAATTCTGGGTGACAATTTTTTCTTTCAGCGCTTGGAAAATGTTATAACACTTCCTTCTGGCCTTCATGATTTTTTTTTTTAGAGACAGTGTGTGGGAGTGAGGGGGAGGGCAGAGGGCGAGGGAGAGCAAGAATCTTAAGCAGGCTCCACCCTCAGTGTGGAGCTGGACATGGGGCTCGATCTCATGACCTTAGATCATGATCTGAGCCAAAACCAAGAGTCAGATGCTGAACTGACTGAGCCACCCAGATGCCCCTGGCCTTCATAATTTCTGATGAGAGATATGTTGTCATTTAAATATTTTACAGCTGCAGGTAATACTTTTTTTTTTTCTGGCTGCTTTCAAGATTTTTTCTTTGTCTTTAGTTTTGAGAAATTTGATTATGATATACCTAGGCATGGATTTCTTTGAGTTTATCCTTTTTGGGGTTTGCTTAAGTTCTTGAATCTGTAAGTTTGTCTTTTGCCAAATTTGGGAAATTTTCAGTCATTATTTAAGTATTTGTTCAACACCACATTCTTCTCTTACTGAGTTTCTGATGACATGAATGTTAGATTTTTTTTTGTTATTGTCCCACATGTTTCTGAGATTCTATTCATTTTAAAAATCGATTCTCTATCTGTTCAGATTAGATAATGTCTATTATTCTGTCTTCAGGTTCATTGATTCCTTCTAATGTCATCTCCATCTGCTATTCAGCCCATTCAGTGAGCTTTAAAATTTTGCTTACCTTATTTTTTAGTTCTCAGTATTTTATTGTGTTCTTCTTAAGTCTTCTTTTTCTTTGCTTAAGGTTTGTATTTTTTTTCTTTTTCCCCCCAGAGTTCTAGTACTTGCTTTTGGGAACATTTTTGTGGTAGCTCCTTTAAAATCCTTGTCCCATAAAATTATAGCATCTGTATCATCCTGGTGTTCATGTCTGTTGATTGTCTTTTCCCATTCAAGTTGAGATTTCCCTGGTCTTAGTATGATGAGTAATTGTGGGTAACGAGGACATTTTGAGTGTTGTTACAGAGATTCTGGTTTCTATTTAAATCTTTCTCAGCAGGCAGTCAACCTGTTTAGGTTCAGAGGGCATGTTCTGGCACACTTTTGTGGGCTGTGGTTCAAATGCCCGTTTAGTTTGCTGTGCTATTCTGGTCTGCTCATCTTGTATGCTGTTCAGAGGCCAATCTGAAATAAGAGCAGTATTTGACATTAAGTTAAGTTCTCCAATCTCTTGATGTTTTGATTCTGGTTGGTCATGCATTGACTGCTTTGGGGTCTGCTCAGGATATCATACACAGATGTAAAGTGTCCCTGTCTCCAGTTGTTTGTTTGTTTGTTTTCCTGTAACTGCCCTACCCCCTCACTCACTTTCTGATTGGAGGGGAAGGGTACTGCCTCCCTGTTGCTGTTTGCTTAGCACACAGGGGAGTAGTTATAGTCCCTGCAACTGATACACCAGTGAGTGGTGGAGGAGCACCACCTTTTGCTGACATTTGCTTAGTGCAGGACAGAGATGGTAGACAGGGATCCCTCCATAGTCGCTGCAGTGCTAGGAATGGAGGAGGAGGGGTACCACCTCTGCTCATGTTAGTGTAGGATCAGAAAAGTTAGTGGGGGTTCACTCCAAAGTCTGCCCCAAATCCCAGGGTGGAGGAGGTGGATCTCCTCATTAGTGCAGGCATGGTCAACAGGTCTCTGCGTATGGTCCCCATTGCCATCCTCCCAATGGGAGGAGGGAGGCTGCCTCCTCATTAGTGTAGGGCAGGGATGGTTGACAGCCCTGACTCCAGTCCCTGCCGCTGAAGGTTGGGAGTGGTGGTGTAGCTTTTTGTGAGGAGTTCCATCTGGAGTAGAGTGGGTTCCATCTTGTAGGACTCCCCTTTGTCAAAGCTTTTGGCCAGAGAGACCAAGGTTTCTTTGGAGCTTTTGGGTTTTTTGGTCTGGGTCTGTTGACATTTCTGGGTTGTGGGTGTCTCTAGCACTCAGAGAAGGGTATGTAGGAGGCTAAACACACACACACACACACGCGTGCGCACACACAAAAAACCCAAGGAAATCTCTGCCTGGTTGTTCCTCAAGGTCTCTGGTCAGCCCAACTTCCCATCTCCATCTCTTAGAGTTTCTGATGGTGGTTTTATGTATTTTGTTCATGGTTGCAAATAGTGGGAGGAATTAGGTGAAGTGTGATTACTCATTTTGTCTGGAACCAGAAGCTGTGAATTTATCTTTTACTATGATTAAAAATAATGCTCTTCATTCCTGTGTAAATCCAAGTTTCCACCTGCTATCATACTACATGTAATAAAGAGTAAGACTCCACTTCTGATGTTGGACCATTCACAGCTTGCGAGGCCCACTCCTCCTTCTTTCCTTTTTGCCCCACATGTGGGGCAAAAGCCATTAAGAAAGCTGATAAGAAAACCTGAATACTCCTTCTGGTGGTGCCCACAGGAAGTTCAAACCACACAAACCCCAGCCCGAGTGCCTGAACCCTTTCCTCAGCCCTATCTTCAGTCACGGTATAAGCCAAAGTCACTGGCCCCACTTTGCTCTTGCCATTTGGACTGGCTTTTGCCTGCCCTTCTCTCCTCAGGAAATCCCATGAATAATAAACCTTTCCATATCTTCTTGGTGTATATGGCATTATCAGTCTCAACATCTCAACTATTCCAGGATGGGGGGGTGTGGTGGGGGGTGGGGAAGGCTCATCCTGCCCTGCTTGGGGTGACTATCAAGCACTCCTTCTGCCTCAAGAAGTTCCTTTAACAGTTTTTATGATGCAAGCCTGCTGTCAATGAATTCTCTCCGGTTTTGTTTGTTTGAAAATGTGTTTTACCTTAATTTCGAAAGATATTTTCACTGAGTATAGAATTCTGAGTTGAAAGGCTTTTTTTTTTTTTCCTTTCAGCACTTTTAAAGATGCCATTCCATTGTCTTCTGGCTTGCATAGTTTCTGATCAGAAGTGTTCTGTAACTCTTTCTTTGCTCTTCTGTGTGTAACTTCCCGCTTTTCTCTGGCTGCCTTCAACCTTTCTTCTTCAGCTTTGAGCAGTTGGACAATGATGTGTATAGGTGTGGAGGGGGGGGAGGGGTTGGTGGTATTGGTGTTTTTTTTCTTTTTCCTGTTTATTTTGCTTGGAGTTCTCTGGATTCTTGAATCTGTAGTTGAATGCCTATTATTATTTTGGGGGAATATTCTTGACTATTATCTTCTAATATTTCTTCTCTTCACATTATCTTAAAATTCTTCTCCATCTGTGACTTTAATTACATGTGTGTTAGACCATCTGATGATGTCCTACCCACAGCTCTTGAATGCTCTGATTTGTTTTCACCACTTTTTTCTCCTTGTGTTTCAGTTCACAGCATTTCTATTGACCTATCTTCAAGTTTGTTGATTTTTCCAAAGCTATATTCATTTTACTTATGCACTGGTCACAAGAATTCTTCATCTATGATATCATATACTTTATTTCTAGTATTGCTATTTCACTCCTTGTTATAGCTGGCATCTCTCTGGTAAAATTCCCCATCTGTTCATGTTTGTATCCCCCCTTTCCACTAATGCATTAACATATTAAGTTAAGTTCTTTTTATAGTTATAGTTATTATAAATATTTTTATTATAGTTATTTTTATAGTTATTTTTAGTTATAGTTATTTTTAAATCCCTGTCTAATAGTTCCAACCATCTGGGTCATCAAATCGATTTCCTGCTGATTGCTTTATCTCTAGATTGTTTTCTCTTACTTTTTTTTAAATTGTAATTTTTGATTATATGCCAGACACTGTGTGTAGAAGAATAGTACAGACTGAGGTAAATTGCATTTACACCTGCAAATGAGCATGCCTCTTCTGTCTGGATTTTAGTATTCAAGGTTCAGTGCATCCAGTTAGGAGTTGAACCAGGTTTGGGTTTTGTTGTTGCTATTTCTACCTGTAGAGCAGCTGACACTTTCAATTTCTCTAAATGTGGGATGCTTTTACCTATGCTGATAGTGGGGACTGGGGCACCAGATGGTTTCTCTCAGTGTTTCTGATAATCCCTTCACCTTTCAGCCTTTCCTTTCATAGCTGTGCCACTGGGAGGCTCCTTCTATACTCTTGTCTCTCCATCAGGGATTGTGCTATGACTTGTTTCTCAACACTAGGCCTCTGGTGAGAGGGGCCACTCTCTTATCCTGGTCCAGCCCCACTCTGAGACAGATTGTAAACCTCAGTGCGGGGCTTTTTCAGCATTCCTGCCCAGCCTTCCCATGGCAACTCAGTTCTGCCTTGTCTCTAAATTCTGCTTTTGAATGGGAGTTTCCTGACCTTCCCCCGTCACTGGTAACAGACCTCTGCTTGTATTGGTGTCAGATCCTAGGCCCAAAATGATTTCTTGCCTTTCACTCCCACCATAGCCATGGGTTTTTCCCTGGGTTCTTGGGGCAAGAGGTTTCCTACCTCTCTCCCAGAGGCAAATGGGGTTTGCTTCTAGTCTTTCTTGAAAAGCAATGGACTTTTACCTGTGCCCCTCCCTCTCTGTCTCTGGCTTTTGCTTCATAGGAGGGTTGGATCCGGGAAAGGGGCAGGGCCTTGTGCCTATCCTCCAAAAGCAGCTTGCCTCTTCCTGCATCCTCACATGCCTGTCACTCCCCACACCTCTGCTCTGCTCCTAATATTTCCCTTGAGAACAAGTGGGTGCCGATTCGCCTAAATCTGGATTCCTCAGCCTTTCCAAACTTACATCTAGGCCCACACTTGGCTTTTAATGATTTGCTAAAATGTTACCTAATGTCTTCATACCTCCTGATGGCCATGCTTCTCCTGTGCTTGGCCAAAGGGGAAACAGGTTGTGCACTGCATTTCCTCTTGCAGGAGGGTCTGCTCCTTCTTTGGAATTCAGCTTATTTGGTTCCCTTGTAACCTTACATCTCTGATAGATTCAAGAAAAATTGGGTACTCCTAATTGTGAACTATCCAGATTTTCCCATTGTTCCTTGCAGCTTTCTACATCCTATATGGAAGCAAGGAAACTTCACTCCTGGTGCCTCTCAACCCTCAGTGGTTCTGACTTTACTGGGTTGCTGTAATTTCCCACATACGGCACAGAACTTCCCGTTGTGCGCATACTCCCTCGTTGCGCAGTGGAGGACAAATGAGCCTTTGCTCCCTTGGGCTCTCTCCCAGCGTCAGCCCTGCTGCTCCTTCGGAGGTGCGGCACAACCCTCTTCTGAGCTGCGAGCTTTGGCCACACCACCTCTCTCCTTTGTTCCCCCGCCCTAGCTGCAGGGCTGCACAGGCTGGCTGGTGACGTCACCACTATCTAGGCATCCGTATTTACTCTTTATCCTTCCACCTTCCAGCTCCCTGTGTTGGCCTCCTTTGGATTGACGTACCAAGTGTAGTTTCTGGATGTTTTGTTTTGGGGGCCGAACCCTGACAAACACAACTCCTTAAGAAGGAGCCTGTGTCCTTTCTGCCTGCTCTTTTTTTCCTCTTTCTTCTGGCTGGGACAGAGATGTGATGACTTTCGCGATAGAGCCACACACCGAGGAAGGCAGAGCAGAAAGACAGAAGGTCCCTGAGGACACAGCGGAGCCTCCACCCCACCTCTGCCTTCATTTCCATGAGGGAGAAACAAAATGCTCTCTCGTTTACACCACGGTCCGGTCCTAGCAGCCAAGTGCTGTTCCTCAGTGACCTGCCCCTGTAGGACCTGATACAGCGTCTAATGCAACCAGAACAGCTGGGGTGTGGGCTACATAAGGGAGGAAATTGCTCGATGAAGTAAATAATTCAGCTAATTTTTTGTATAATAATCATGAAAACCTTTTGAAAGTAGATGATGAAAATGGAGATTTATAAATACTTTGCTGGTCTGTGACACTCAGGAGGGAGGCAGGCAAGGGCCAGTGGGCCAGCCGTCCCTGCACCCCTCTCTCTCCTGAACCAGAGTACAAGTGATGTGGCAGAAATGGTCGGGCAGTGGGGCTTGATGAGGAGGCAGGCAGCAAAGCTGTGGAAAGCTTGGGCTGCAGAGCTCTTGAATACTTCAGTGTGGTCTTTGCTCGAGGCCTCCATTTCTTCATCTGTAAAATAGGGGTATTATTGGTTGCTACCTCATTGAGTTGATGTGGACACCAGATGAGACAATCTGTATGAAACAGTCAGCATAATGCATGACCGCTATATTTGATATTTATAAACCACGCTAATTTACAAACAAGAAGATGGCAAACTTTGGTTTACTTTTACTGTTATTTACTGTTATCAGTCGCAGTGACTTGTGACTGTTCTCACAGCGTGCTCGGGCAACAGTCACCATGAGTGAGGGTTTAGTCTTTAGTTGGTGATGGTGGGCAGAGGGTCCAAGCTCAGGGTGACAGGTGGTTGCCACCTCAAATCCTCCATGGAACGTGGTGGGGTAAAAGCCAACCAGTAACAACAAGGCCGGATGGTCTTGAGCGCTGTGGTGTATAAACTGCCAGAGCTTGCAGATCGGCCCCAGGGGTCACTCCCAGCACCCTGGGGTTATGAGATGGGTGCGTGTGCCTGCCTCCCAGCATCAGCTCCAGCCTCTCTGTTCCCTCGGCAAAGTCTGGACGGATGGCAATGCAATCCATTATGTGTCAGCTCAGCCCGAGCATTTCAACCGATTATGATGATGTTAACCTTGGCCATTTTGCTATAATTGATCCCTATGGTCCTTTGTCAATTGCTTCAGCCATACGGTAGATGCGAGGCAAAAAGATGCGGTGACCTGGAGCCCTTTCCTCTGGGGCCAAACGGTCGCCCTTACTCCTGAAGCCGTTCTGATCACAGCCCGCAGAATGACCCATCTCCCACAGGCGGCCCCGAGGAAGATTAAATTGTGGTCAGAATACTTCAGTTAAGGATAACAATGTTTCTGATAAAATGCTAATTTGTAAGTTTGAGTGATTACAGGGGTAACCCAAGTTATCTTAAAAATTAGATTTCGTTGTTTCCTGCCAGGGCTGAATCAATGAGATGTCACTGCCGTGCACTCACTCTTTTATCAAGATCTCCTTTATGATGTATAATCCAAGGTTGACAGACCTACGGCGCCCAGAGCCGTTCATCCTCCAATTAACACATTTGTCAGTGTTTCTACAAATCATGCGTCTTCTGATACAGGATAAGGGGCCCTCGCGCCATCCTGTGTCATCACCAAATACACACGCACACACAGACACACACACACACACACACACTTGCACACTCGCGCCTCACTGTGGTTGTAAGTTAGATTTTATTTCGCCCACCTAGTAGCGACCGACCAGATCCACCTGTTGTGCACATGTGTGTGTTTGTTTTCCAAGACCCCGCCCCACCCACTATTTGGACGATGACAATGGCATGCATTTAGAGAGCCGTGGGGATTATATGAAGGGACGTGGGGAGTGTGGGTAGGGAGTGGAGACCACCTTCCTGATGGGAATGAGATGCTACTGGTCCTCCCTGAGTGACTTAACCATGACTTTGAGTTGTAGCTCCCGTGTCCCACATGGGGTGCTCGGTCCAGGACTCCGATATGACTGGGGGCACCTGGCCAGGCTGCTTGCAGCACGTTCGAATGCTAAATGATGACTTTTGGCACACGTCTGTTTAACATCTGGCTTCCCAATGCAATGCCTGCCTTGTGCTGCCTGCTTGGAGGTTGGGACATAATGACGGCGAACAAGCCAAAGTGGACGAGAAAAGGGTACTTCTGGTGACTTGTCTGTTCCGCATATGTTAATTTGCATAATAATTGATCTCTAGCTATAAAGCTAATTTTGTCCCCGAGGCCCCTTTGTGAATCTCTGTCCGGTGGTCCCAGTGGAGATCGAAGGCTGGAAGACGTGGAGTCACTTGCTCTGCGAGTGGCAGAGCCCCCGAGGCCTCACCCTTTGCCCTCCTGCCTCTGTGGGTGGCATTGTCAAGTCCTCTCCACGTCAAGGGGGGTGGTTTCCCAACACGAGACCTCCCCCCCAACCCAACTCCACCCGTTCAGCTCTGCAGGACCAGTATGTGGCCCAACCCTTCTTCCATGGTTCTTGCCCCGGAAGGCGATGACTCTCCCAAGCCCCCCGGGGGTCATGTCCCTTGCCTTTACTGCACTGCCCTGGTGGCGTGTCTGCTTGGTGGCCTCATCAGGACTGCTCTGGCAGCCGGAGACCTGCCCCACAGGTGGCATCAGGGACCGAATGGCTGATGGATTCTACTGACATTACGTGGGCCCCAGGGGGGTCTGAGCTAGGTGGGGGGAAGCCAGACTGAGGGCTTGGGGAAGGCTGAGTTACCCCAGGCTGGGTCTTGGGGCGCTGGGTGGGTAGGGAAGGTTTTCAGGAAGTTGGAAGCTTAGGAGGACCCAGGACCAGGAAATGCCACGTTCAGGGTGTAACAGAGGGCACACGTCTGCTGTGAGGGCTGTACCCAAAGACCAGATAGCTCCTTGCCTTCCCAGACTCTGGTGAGACGGTACTTAGGGTCTCGTATGACTGGGGCCCACACCGTGGTCATCGGGTACAATTAAGCTCTCTCAGGAGGTGTTTGTGACACTGCGGGGACCAAGGCCAGGCTGAGGGTTGTAAGCCCAGGTGAGCCACGACCCGAGGGCCCGAAGGACCCAGGGGCCACAGGGCTGCCTATCCCCTCCTATGTGTCCCTCCCTCGACATCAACCATTTCCTCTGCTTCCTCCACCACCACCCCATCGTGGCCGCCCTGGACCTGCCTTCTCCCCGAGGGGTCTCTTACACTTCGCAGGTCACCCTTCATCCTAAAACCCCTCCTGGCTCTCAGGAGAAAGTTCAGGCTTCCCGACGGAGCCAGCGCGCTCTGCTGCCGGCCCTCCCACCCTCTCAGGAGTCTCAGTGGCCCGCATGTTCTGCCTCTGCCTGGGCCCCGCTCCCCGCTCAGCTCCGCTCTAACTGCAAGTGGTCGCACCTGGGGCCCCTGCCTGAGCGTCCAGGTGTACCCACCGCCCAGGACCTTCCTCCGTGAAGTCAGTCATGTGTTACTGATGTGGTGGCCCGAGGGCTGCTGTCTCCCTTCTACCTGTGCGCCCCCCCCCCGTTCTCCAGCGGATTCCCAGTGACTGCCACCACGCCCTGCTCACAGCAGGTGCTCAGTTGACATTGGATGGCTGCGGAAGCCCGGGGGCGTGGGGGGGGGACACTTCCAGCTGACTCTGGCCCTTCTCCAGCTGTCACCGTGGTGTGCACACAGCAGCGTCACCTGCCTTCTAGGGTGGGCAACGCCCTCGCCATGGTCATGATCAGGATGGTCTGGGTGTACCTTGGAGCAGTGAGAAGGGTGGAATGGAGGAAAGGGCATAAAGGGTGGCTCTGGAACCCCGCAGCATTTCCCAAGCCTGGGGGCCTGCTGTCCCCTACAGGACCTTGGGGTGCCTTCTTTCTGGGGAGCTCAGTTCAGCCTGTTGGCAGCCTTGAAGCCCAGGACCATGGGATCGGAGAGGACATTTCCACCCCCGGGTCTGCCTGCCTGGATGGTGTCCTGGACCACGCGTGGGATCTCACAGCCAGGTCTCTGCTGGGGATAGGAACCGGCTCTACAGAAGAGCATCCCTTGGTGGATGTTCTCCACGTTTCCTCGCCTGAGCCAGGTGGGGCGGGCCCAGCACTGTTCTGCTTTAGGCTTTGTTAATTCACTGCCTTGCTGTTGCCACATACAGATGGAAACCTCCCGAGGGGGCCCCATGTTGTCTGATTTTCCGAGACTCCACGTGTCGGAACCAGCTGTGAGTCCCGAGAGTTGAAAATTCCCTCCCAGAGGAATGGGGGGGAGGGGGTTTGAGGAAGCAGGGCCCTGGGCATGCCTGGGACCTCAGGGAGTCCAGGGTCTCTTTCGTCAGAGGAGAGTTGGCTCTGAGCCAATTCCAAGCACCCCCGGCCCGCTCTCCTCCTCTGAACCCCACCCCGCACTGAGCACATACACCTGTCACCGCACCTACCTCCGGCTCTCCAAGGCATCAACTTGACATTACCTTATGGTTGCGCCGCCCCAGTTGGTGGCTCAAGCAGTTGGTTCCAAACACTAATGCTGATCT